ACCCTTCATTCATTTTAGTTTCCAATCCTCGTTCATAATAGAATCGAATCTGCCAGGTTTATACAAGTCGCTGCTCTTAGTTGTATGGTCATATTACCCCTGGTTCACAATATGCGGAATGTCAGGTTGGTGTTTCAATCTAACGTAAATATTCCCTTTTTATTTTTTGCTATACATGCCAGTCTTGGACATCTACCACTGATCTGTCACAGCACCGTGAGAAGCGTCTCCGACCAACTTAGCATACTTGGCCAACACACCTCTCTTGACTCTAGGCTCAGGGGCCTTCCACTCACTCCTTCGCTTCTCCATCTCCTCATCGGTGATATCGACATCAATGCGGTTTCTAACTGCATCAATGGTAATCACATCTCCATCCTTGACCAGGGCGATAGGGCCTCCGACCATAGCTTCAGGCACAACGTGACCGACGATGAAGCCGTGAGAAGCACCACTATATCGGCCGTCTGTGACGAGGGCAAGATTCGAGAGACCAGCGCCCATGATGGCTGCAGAGGCCTTCAGTTGTTCGGGCATACCAGGACCACCCTTGGGACCTTCATATCGTACAATAACAACCAAGTTACCGTCGGATTGCTTGATCTCGCCTTTGTTCAGAGCAGCGTTGAGCATCTTCTCAGTATCGTATACACGGGCCTTGCCAGTGAAAGATAGTCCCTCCTTTCCAGTAATCTTAGCAACGGCACCGCCGGGGGCAAAGTTGCCTCGTAGGATGCGGATGTGGCCGGAATCCTTAATGGGGTTATCGAGAGAGCGGATGATATCCTGACCAGGGTCCAGGCTGGGCCAGTCTTCCACGTTCTCGGCAAGAGTCTTGCCGGTGACGGTCATGATGCTGCCGTCGAGAAGGCCACGGGCGATAAGCATCTTGATGACAGAGGGAGTTCCGCCGACGTTGTAGAGATCCTCCATGTAGTACTTTCCACTGGGGGCGAGGTCGGCGAGGAAAGGAGTTCGGTCACTGGCGCGTTGGATATCATCGATAGTCAGGGGGACGCCCGCTGTGTTGGCCATGGCGAGGAAGTGAAGAACACCGTTTGTAGAACCACCCAGAATCATAGTCAGAACAAGAGCGTTCTCGAAAGAAGCTCGGGTCATGATATCGCGAGGACGAAGGTCCTTCTCCATAGTAGTTCGGATAACCTGAGCAGCGCGCTCACACTCACGACGCTTCTCAGGAGACTCGGCAGGGTATGATGAAGAGCCAGGTAGTGAAAGACCCATAGCCTCAATGGCAGTAGCCATAGTGTTAGCCGTGTACATACCACCACAGGCTCCAGCACCGGGACAAGCATGCTTCTCGATATCATCCATGACATCAGAGCTCTCACGGCCAGCCTCACCAGGATTTGTCTTTGCGTGAAGACGGCCATAGGTGAAAGCGCCGGAAGCTTCGTAGCATGTGCTGATATTGATGGGCTGCTCGAGGAGCTTAGAGTGGCCCTTACGGATGGTACCGCCGTAGATCATGATAAAGGGGCGATTGTGACGAGCGGCGGCCATCACAGTGCCGGGCATGTTCTTGTCACAGCCAGGAATAGAGATGTTGGCGTCATGGTGCTGGGCGCATGTTACAGACTCGATGGAATCGGCGATGATTTCTCGAGTCTGAAGAGAGAAGCGCATGCCTGAGATGTGTGAGTTACTATGAAATTTTGCGAGTGAGGTTCACAAACCTTCGCCTCCCATCGTGATGGCGTCAGAGACACCAACGGTGTTGAACTGCCATCCGATCATGCCCTCCTTCTCGATAGAGTTCTTGACGATTTGGCCAAGATCGAGGACTGTTTTTGTATGAGTACATATTTTCTTGTTTCAAGCTGTGTCACTTACGATGAGTACTACAAAACCATTAGTATTCAGTCTTACAAGAGGCATTCGGTTCAACTCACTTGCAAGGGTTTCCTTGCCACCACACGGTAGCAACACCGATTTGAGGGGCATTCTTCATCTTGTCCTTGTTTGGGACACCAGCTCCGTAGAGCATAGCCTGGTAATGTCAGTGAGTTGTTGAAATATGGTAGAGTTAGGGGAAACATACCTGAGCTCCGGGATAGTCATGCTCGCGAGTGATCTTTGTCGACCAACGGTTTAGAGCACCGCCAGGAGGAAGACAAGGAAAGGGGATGTAGTCGGGATCCTGTTTAGGGTCGTGTTGGACTTGGTCCGCCATGATGATGAGTTGTGAGAGTTGATCTCACAGTCTGTAGTTTGATGGGGGAGTTAAGCGGTCTCTAGTGATTCAATGGTTGAGAAACACCAGAATTGAGTCAAAGTGAAAGAAGCTATCTCCTGATGACTTGGATTAGTCTAAGGTGGAAGATAAATAGCGATGTCGGAGTGAGAAGAGGAAGGAAGAATGAGTTGGTTATGTTACAGTGAAGAGGATGGATGGATGGACGGCAATTGCTGCCAAGGCTCAACCCCACGGGCAGTGACTGACCTTATATAAAGGAAATGATTCCGGACAACAAGGTCTTGGGTCTTTGGCCTTGGGTGAGGGTGACAGAGAACCGAAGACGAAGAGAAATTGACCAAAGACAAGCGTCGGATTAGACAAGAATTGTGGTGCGAGTTGCAATGCGTCTGCCGAAGAGCGGAGTAGTCGATTTTAGTGACTTTTTCAAGACCAAGATGTAAGCGGAATGTCCTGTAGCCTGTAGCCTGTAGCCCTGTGACTTGAGGTAGTGTAGTGTGCGGAGTAGTGGCGTTTACTCCTCTGTTGATCAGTTGAAGTTTAGAATATTACAAGTTACGAAGAGAGAAGAGACAGAACTGAGATGAGGACACGGGAGAAAGGGAGTGATAACAGCTACAGTTGTGGCATCTTGTACTCCCCAAGCTAATGTACTGTAGGTAGCTTCTAGCTCATTGACAACACATGATACCTACTTAGATAAGAGAAGCCTCGTGAAATTGCGTCAACTCTTTTACCTTGTTACAAGAGGCTATTCTCACTCAAAATCTTGGCTTGCCTCACTCATCCCTCCTTTGCCGGACCGAACAGCTCGGCATTCGCTCCGGAAACCTCATCAAGAGTTTCCCCTTCTCTTATTCTTCTTTCTTTAACCCCTCTTGACTTGGTATGATCATGATATCCACTTCCCGCCTGCTAAAAAGGCCCAACAACCCCGCACATTAGTTAGCTAGAGCTTTGTCGAATACCAGCCGTCGGTTTAGCAATTACGGATCCCTCGAGCTTTAATAGGCCCAGACTAGTCAATGCCAATCAAATGAGCAAGAAGAGAGAGAACAGAGACATTGTCTTCAACTTGACAATGAGGGAAGAGAGAGTAAATACTTGAAATACCAGAGGTCATCTCCACTCTTAAGAAACATCCTCCCCTCACGATACCTTCGTCCAGATCATAGACTTGGGGTCAAATTTACCCCCAAAACAAAAACAAAAACCATGACAGCGGCTAAAAGGGAGAACACCCTCCCCCTAAGAATATCTACCTACCTTACAACTACATTCAGCCGGGACTCCGCAGTCCCATTCGCTATGGATCCATTCCTTCCCATCTTTGATCCCCGATGCGCCCCTCTCCGCGTGACATCCACAATTTCCTCATCCACCGGGGCCGAACCGCGGATCGGATACAGGGGGGAAACACCGAAGTTTCGGCTGACACTCACCCGAACGGTTTTAACCACCGAGAGATGTAATGTTTCGACGTATCAGATATATGATGTTATAGTCCAATAGATGTATAACCTCCACTTAAGTCGGTTGTTTAACTACAAACAAACAAACACACCCATCTTTATGTCTCCTCTCATACCTTAGCTACCTACAACTACCCAGACAGAGTATACGTACTCACAACTCGTCAACATCATCCCAATATCATGCAAGTCATATTGGTCTATGCGTCTTGATACACGGCCGTCGTCATTGTGAAACACAGACTCTTAAAACGCATTGAAACGCTGCACAGCCAAGACACATACACCCACCCAACTCACCACGACACATCAGCATCACTCAGCAATACCATTACAATTCGGGCTTTTGCTGCGAAATGATCTTCATGGCACCTTGTACAGACACTTTTCGGACGTATCGCCGTCTCAAGCAACCTCAAACATATCCCATCCCCATATCCTCCACTAACACACGCTGATCTAGTTTCATCTCCATTACGCAAGCAAGCAACACTTTTTCAACATTGTCATGTCACAGTCCACATGAAACAATAAACAGTTCAAGGTGAAGAAGATTATCAATTGATGCCTGCCAGCTTTTACCACTGACAGGGTGTATCTAATATTATCCTCCACCCCATAAACCCATCCGCTCACTAGCAGTAACCCGGGGCGAGCGTCTTGAGCTTTGGCCCTTTTCTTTCATCACCGTAATTTCATCAGTCCTCAATACGAAACAACAAGAGGACTGTACAATGTAAGGAAATCTGCCGAAATGGCAAGCCAAATAAAACGGGTCAGGAAAAAAAAAAACCGTCAAAAAAAACCGAAAATTGAGACCAAATAAAAAATCCATGACTCTGTCCACTACACCGGGACAGGTCTTTACTCCAAGCATAGGACGGAAAAGGTGTATAGTAGTGTCTCCCTCCATCTGCGACAAGTGCTCTTCATGTCGTGTAGCAAATGCCGTGCATCTACCTCCTTTTTTCCACCTCCAAGGATCCAGATTTGAACTGGATCCCACCCACTAGACAATACTTTGTTCGTAAGATAAGAACGGTATAGGCCGCACAGTGAAAAGAATGAAAGTGATGTACTTCGTGAAAACGAGTGCGGGCGCAAGTAAAATGCCCAAGCGTGTATGGCAGATATGCCGTGTCGTGTGCGTGCCTCCGGTGGTAGAGAGAGCAACAATGCCGTGATTGAAACGAAATGCGAAAAGCAAGAGGCGTATCATACAATGAGGCGAGACCACGCTGCGGTCTCACCTTGTTCTCATTCCAAATTACCTCGCCTCTGGATGGGATGAGGATCAAGACAGGGTGACGTAACCCGAGGAGTCCATGTTCAGTGAGCGGTTTGCATCATACCGAATCGCTCCTCTTCCAGCCGTCTCACGATATCCCGATCGCGAGCGGTTCGTGGGTCAGCGTCAATTCCAAGGATCGAGGAGATCCGTGTCTTGTCCTGTCCCTTGTTGTAGGTGTGGCTCTGCGCATCCTTTTCAGCCTGGCCTGGACTGGAGATGGGGGTGATTGGTGTCAGCGAAGAAGGGCTGCAGCAGGTGCCAGTCTTCCAGGCCTGTTCGAGAACAGTGGGAGACACTGAAGGACCATACTCGTTGGCGATTGTTGTCCAGAAAGACGCGCGGTGGGTTGAGTAGATGGAATGAAGGCGTGAAAGATCGACATGCGAGGCGTTGTGTGCAGGAGGTGAAGGCACGGGCCCAGGAGCAGGCACAACTGAGCAGTCAAGACGCAGAGGAGGTGTTGTTCGTTGAAGCGAAGCTGCGCGGTGGTGGAAAGCAGCGGGAGGCATCTGAACAGGGACATCCACTGGCGTCGTATATGACTGGTTGGTGACGGGAGGTGGGAGAGACATGCGAGAAGGCTTTGGGAGAATGGACGGTAGACGGGTGACATCGCTAGGTCCAACGATGCTGGGGAGCTGGATGTGGCTGGCAGTGTTGACGTTGCAGGGAGGGGGGCTATAACTTCGTACACTTCCACCAGGAGAGACTGAGCGAGAGACAGTCTCTCGTGCAGGGCTGGGAACGTTCACGTTGTGAGTCTGGGGGATGTCGTTGGAGGCACCCGATGAGACTGAGGCAGCACGCTTGTTGCGTCGGTTGCTACCGTGAGAGAGCTGATGATAGTGGAGACGGCAAGCCAACTCTGTCTTCTTGAGATGGGCTGCAATGTACTTATATGGCATCTTCTGGAGTCGAGTTTGGATGAGATATGACTCCTAAACTTGGTATTAGTGATTTGGTCTGGCACAACTAAACAACCTCGACTCACCTCCTCATCGCTCCAAGCACGTCCACCGCCAGTCGACGAAGCCTTACGGTTCTTTGAAATTCCGTAGTCGTGGCGGTCCATGGAATCTCGTGACGGGATATAAGGCGCAGGGGCCTGAGCCATCTGATGTTGAGGCATGCCTGAGCTCATTGGTCGGCTGTTCATTGTACTGCCTTGAAATCCGCTATGGGTATCGTAAAGTAAAAATCGGGTTGCTGAAAAGAATCGTCGTTTTCCGAAGAGTGGAAAGTCGTCGTATAAGCTGGTCTTGAGAAAGAAGCCAGGCCAAGTGTGGTCGAAGCGAGCGATATCGTTCGAATGCCGGGTGTGCTGTTTAAGCCAGCGAGAATATTGAACTCGAAAATACAGACACCGGAATGGAAAATCCTCAGAAGTTGAAACTGTTTCAGGTAGAATGAAACAGATTTGTTATACAAAGCGTTGAATGAAAAACCAGTATCGGTTTAGTTGTGTAGAAGGTAATGGGTTGTTAAGGAGTGTCAGCAGCCAAACCAGTTGGTCCAAGTTGGTACTGTTAATGAGTGTGTTGGAGCTAGCTGCGTAGAAGAAGTGAAGCAGAGCCGAAGAAGTGAATACAATTACAAGACGCAACAGCGTTTCTTGCAAAGAAGAAGAAAAAGAAAAGAAAAGATGTGAGGTTGAGGATGACAATCCAAAGTGAAGAAGGGAAAGAGGAGAAGTAGAAGTAGTTTATTTGAAGGGGAGGGGCAAGTGGTGTAGTAATAACAAAGGAAGATCGGAAACAGGCACAATAGACAGTTTACAGCGGCATGCATGCAGTAACAAGCTCACTAGAGTAAGGTACAGGGCGTACGGGGCAGATTGCAACGGCCACGACGGTGGTGATGGTTCGGGCCATGCATGGATTGGAGGATGGACATGGATCAGGGCATAGCAAGGGTTTGCTCACTGCTGCACACTGCCAGGGCCCTTGTTACATCTAACAGGGACAGTCTAACAGCGTTAACGAACGGGGGGGAGGCGTTCCAGGCCTAGACGACAGGACAAGACATGGGGGGTAAATTCAGGGCCTGCAGGGCATGGCATGTGGCTTGGCTGGAGATGGATGCTGCAACATGAACAAAACCAAAACATACCTCCATCGCAGACGGAACAAGTCGTGGATGAAGATTCATCTTACAGTTCCTGTCTGGGACTCAAAACAAATACTGCTACAACAAGATCTGAGGCTCTAAACGGAGACAAACTAGACGACACTATACTATTTTAGCTTGACCATAGACTGGGCGCGAGACGAGACTAACACAAGACAAAACCTGCAGTAATGAGACACCCAATTTCTGGGGTTTTTGGTTTTTTGTTTCTCTAACCCCCCAAAAAAAAAAACCTCAGACGAAAACAGAGCTTGTGAAGCAATAGCAACGATCGTAATATTACAGAAACGCCACCGATGATAATGGCTTGATACAAGTCTGCAGTAGTCAAGCCTCAATCGCGGTGAAGTCTAAACAGCTCGACAGAATAGGAATATGGAGCGAACACCACCGTCCGCCACTATCATGAATCAATGATCAATCAGAAAGAAACCAAGACCAGATGACATGGACCGCCCAAGCGAGCCTCAAAACGATCACTTACATGCTGCAACTGCAGAACAGTCGTTGTCAGTACGGATACAAGATCCGCCGCCTTGTCAAATCAACTCACCCTTGTCTGGTAAAACGGTCACCACCGCACGTAGCGTCTCCCACTGTTAAAGAAGTGATCCAAACATCCATTTACAACCCCCGGTTCAGTCCTCGTACAACGGATATTGGCAGGCCTGTGCGAGTTTTAAACATATTCTTCGCCATCCTTGGCATCCGATCTCTCCAGTACAGTACCTTTGCTCTCAAGTAGAAACTGTCTCCCGTCGGACAAGACACGCATACATACTACACAGTACCTAGGTTTACGTATGGGCTCTGTGGGTTTTTGGCCTCGTGTTCATTCCTTGATAATGAATCACTTTTTCTTGCTCCTGGCAGCAGACAGTCAGCCTCTCAGTCTCTCTTCAGCGGGGTCGTGTTGCGTTACATCGACCTCAGCTTCAGGTGCGCGATGCGCGTAATAATTCAAGGTGGCCTTCCATTAGTTGATAGCCTTGTCTGACTCTCCAGCGCAGCGCACAAACTGCTTCTTGGCAGCCAACCCTGGCGAGTAGCAGGGGTTCGTATATTGCTTCGTAATTGGACGGTCCCTGATTTTGATTTGCACTTCGAGCCCTTCAACCTCGTGGTTTGACTGTAATCCCACCCACCTTGTAGCCTCGAGGCTAACGTCCATCACGCACCGCTGCGCTCTGGTCCATGATCTTCTGGAGGACCGTGATTAGGTCCCAAGCTGTTGGCTGCAGCTAGCAGACTACTACGTACTGGCCCGGGCGTAACAAGTAAACACGATTCGGGAGTTGGTGTTGTTGTTGCATGATTCTTGGTGTTTGTGTATAAGCAGCTGAAGTAAAGTCGCGACAAGGAGACCTTACCCCAAAGGCAAAGCTTATCAAACCCCAAATGTTTAGTTAAACAATATCCGGTTTCGTTTCTCTCGCTTTTGGCTCCAAGTATCAAACTTGAGCCGAGTCCAGATACGTACATGTTCTTCTCGACCGGCTTGCACGGTGTTTGGTGGAGGGCATGTCATTGCAACCCTGTCGGCTATCGTTTCGTGATAGGTGGGTGCAAGATATGCCGTCCGTTTAGACGATGCGCACATGCCATCGACGCCTCGATTCACAAATTTGCGGGACGGCAAGCGCCTGTTTAATTTCAACATGCAGTGACTTGTTTGCACCTTTATTAATTAACTAGACTTTAGGAAGTTTTATCTTCATCTGTTGTTGTTTGGTAGGATCAGGGCAAACAAACTCTGATATCATACATATCACTTCTTCTTCAACATCATCTCACCAACTCTCTGGTCATGATGTTTCCTGTTTCAGAGTCACTATACTGCTACTCAAACCCATATAACTTTCCTTACCGTCGGTTTCGGTTTCTACCTTAACAAAGCCAACTAATCTCGCCGCTTCGTTAGCTGCCGCCGTGCCCCAGGCCCAAGGTTCAGGGATCCCCCCTTGAAACCCGCTAACGCACTGGCGTAATTTCACCTCGGTATCAGGGATTAGTCCAAAAGAGATGGACATTTGCGAACTCTGTGGAGCGTCCTCTGCTGATTGGGCGGCATATTAACCTCAAAATACTGGTTCAGTGCTTTCGGCACAATGTTTTTACCTTGTCTGTCGACAGACTCTGCCCTTATTCCTATTGTGGTCTTCTGTATCGTGTCCTGGCTATGGTTCTGGTAATGTGCCGTGCAGGGGAAACGAGCTGAGTTTGCGGCACAAACGGAAACATTCGTTCCCCAGTTACAGAAAACAAGAATGAGAAACACGGCCAAGCCAGGCACAGGATGGATACGGATGCTTCAATCCCGCTGTCTTACGCCTCTCTGATCGTCGCCCTTCCTTGCAACTCTGAGTGATTTGTATACGACAGTATCTATTCGTCTATTCTTAGAGCCCTGGCCGACTAACACCGTGCCATGGGAAGATGATCACCAGGTGGTGTCGGGCGGTGAACCGGCCCTTGGTAGCGAAATGCTGCGATAGACTGACTCTGTGTAGTCGATCTCATTCCCTTGTCCGAGATCTTTACGCGGCTTGGCCCCCCCCATGCGTTATGAAAATATGCACTAGCATCTGCAGCAAGGCTCTGTGGCGCTAAACAAAACTGTGAATGCCTTCAGGCTTCAGATATCTGATGCACACGTCTAACATGACAGCGTCAAGAGAAACACATTCTCCAGCTCGGATCGAAACATTCCCGGAAACCGGGTGCTACTCTACCGAGTTGGCAGGAGGTCCCATGACGCCGGATAGCTGTCGTTCCTGTGTGAGCTCGAGTCTGAAGCAGCGATCAAACATGTCGAGATCCGAAACTCCAAGATCTGAGATTCCCAGATAAGTTTTAGATAACCTCAGTTTTGGGTTTCTTCCATGCAACCTCGCTTATGAAATCCTGATACATATTTCTTCAACTATTATTTACTTAATCTTCTCTATTAAGCGCTAAACATTATACAGCTGTCAAATGTTTGCCAAGTCGCAACACTCACCTTCGCAGACTTACCTCGGCAGTGTTTCAGGAGTCTGTGCGGTTAACATGGTCATAGCTGTTTGGGTCCCCGACTGGGGGCTTCAGGCTGTCCTGAGAAAAATGTTCTGGAACTTTGTTCTGCACGGGGACAAAGATGCAGCTATCGTGAGTTGTTAGTCAAGCGGCAAAGCATCGTCAAGATTATTGTTTTTTTGGCGGGATATGCTTGCGAGAGAGCACTACGTGTAAGTCCACAAAACAAATGCAGGGTTCCGTGTTGCTGGTAATTTCGTTCGGGTTTTGTCTTTATTGATTGTGCTACTAAAGTAAACTCTCCATATAAAAAAAACTCTTTTTTTAAAGTTGTTTACGTGTTTTGTAAGATTATTGATGACACCGGCAGATTCATCTCGTGTTTGTTGAAGGTTTCTACTCCATGGCTAAACAATGCCTTGTGTTCTTGACGCCACATGTCTATCTTGCAGAACTGCCGTTTCAATATTCACCGTTATATAAGGTTGTAGCTTGAAACGCGACCGCAGTGTTTGAGATTCCCATCATCCAGTTCTACTGTACCTAAAAGTTCCCCTACCCATTGGAGCGTAAGGTAAAAGCAAGGGTCCTAATCGCTTGGCCCTACGGACGGCTCAAGAGGTGTCCGAATATTTCGACCAGCTCTTGCAACCGGGGTGGTTTCATCCACGGGCCTAACCCTCGAGGAACAAAGGTTTCGAAACTTGATAGTCTAATGTAACTCAAAAGAAGGCTAAAGCACCGATGCGCTCGAGTCTGTTGCTGTTATCAGGATCTTTGCTCACCGCAAACTCGTATTGCGGGAGACAATTTTGCTTCGGAATGTATTTCCCCGATATCCAAATTAAGGCGTGTATGTTTCGTTCGCATGGGGAGAGTGCCCCGTGCTCCTCTTTTGTGCTTATTTTATTGTTGACGTGGGACATCAGGCCATCCCAGATTGCAAGCGTGTTTCGAAGCGGGCGGGGATCGGCAATGCAGCTGGAGATGGTGGAGGAATATGAACTCGATGGAGTTTGATGCCGGTGCCGGATCGTCGTGTACAAGTCAGATTTGGTTATCTCGCCGTTGTCTTGATCTGGTAGTTCTGTTGCATTCCTCTTCGTCAGAGCTTAATTTCAACATTCACCACAGGTTAGGGCTCAAAGGATTTCTTCCTATTGTGCCGCGTAATCTACCAGAAGTCAATCGTGAGAGGAAGAGAAGTCGGAGATAATAAAAACGTAGTCTTTCTTAGTATCATTTTGGTCAGGGTTTTTATTGTAGGGGTGATAATCTAATCAAACCATAATACATCTAGTCTTCTTTCTGTAGTTGATTTCATTGGAGTTTTTATAGTATTATGATAATGTGCCTAATGAAAAGTGGGAGGAACTTCTATTATATGCCGGCTGTGAGGACATGTTGCCAGAAGCTTACCCTGGACAATGAATATGAGTCTGGTATTTAAACAGCCATTGTGCG